GGAAAAGTCTATGGGCTTTTTATAGGGCACAGGGTTTTAAGTGTGGGTTTCGAGGGTTGATGTCTAGGGCTTGAAGTTCAGGGTCTAGAGCATTGAGTTTGGGGGGTTCAAGGTAACGCTTTAGGCTACAGGATGATATTGTGATTGGGAAAAGGCCCGCTCACAACGAGAGGCTTGTGGGACTTATGACTTATGTGTTGGCTAGCCCGATGCTTAAGACCTGGGCAGAGCGCGCGCAAAAGCATCATGATTCATGATCATCAGTTGCACCGGCCCGACCCCACAAGCGAGCATCATGAGCATCAGTTGCGCTGTACGGTGAGCAGGTAGCCAGCACTGCAGCACTACAGATTCTACAGACTTTCAAACAAGGACTGACTCAGTGCAGTGGCTGCAGCACCCGAAACCCTGCCTGATAAGGTGCACCTGGTGCACCGACCCCATCAGCTTCTGTCGGTATCCATAGCTCAGCGCTCTGGAAAACGCGTTACTACTTTGTTCGACAGTATAAGTCAGTATAACCCGGGATATACAATTGTATCAATTGTTGCGAACTGCAGGTCTTGTGAGGACCAAGCTAACTACCCGCCTGAAAATTCCGTATAGTTCCGTGGGCACCGCGCAACTCTATGGAGCACGAAGCCTCACAATCCTCACACAAACATCAGACATCGCAGCGTCTGCGATGTGCCTTGAGCCCGGCGTAGAGAAAAAAGATTGGATCTCCGTAGTACAGTAATAGTAATAGTAATAGTNNAATAAGCTACGCTGGGCAGCTAGGCAATCAGTACTCCAGTCATATCCACGGAGTTAGACCGCTGGGCCCCAAAGCAACACAGGCCGCACTGAAGGTCAAGCTGCGCTGGCAGAGGGTCTGGAAGTCGCACTGAAGCTGCCACGTTCCTCTCCACGTCCTGAGGCAAACTCAGGCCCCACCCCGCATCAACCAGGCATGTGGAACGCGGGCTTAGCTATGCCGACCCACGAAGGCAGTGCTGTCCTTGGTGGCCTCTGTCCATGTATGCTCCGTCCCAGAGACGTAGTCCACCATATGGTGCACTTTCGATGGCTGCGGGTACACTGTGGCCAGCATCTGCAAAATTCGCTCGATCTGTGCCTCGGATGCGGAGTATCAATTCTACCCAGAATTCAAAATCCTCAAGCCTCAAGACTGTAACGGTAGGTAGTAGTGACTGACATCAAGTGAACGTGACTTGGCAATTCTGATCAACAGGAGATCTAAAGAGTCTGATGACCAGGGTTCGTGTGCTTCAGGGTTTCGTTCCAGAATCTTCTGCGACAGCATGATGAAATAGATCCGGTTTCTTGTCTGCGGCAGCCCAAAATCCCGGCTCCTGGCACCGCAAGACAATAAGAAATGTTACATGTTGAACTATTATTACCGTAGGCTTTCGAACACACATTGAAGACAGAGACACCTGTCCCATTTTACATGCTGCCCGATGCCTCAGGGTATGCACACGCACCTCGTAGCCGGGAATGCGCCGAAGGCCAATTTGTTCCCGACGGCCCCGCTCATTTGTGAACTCGCCATCGAGGAGGAAGTCCAGGGGAGTCTGGCCCAAGCATCTAGGGTAATCAGTAAAGTAATGTCAGGCAAGCGCAACTACGAACAACCACGTGGCTCTACGCACACACGCAGCGCACAACTGAATGTACACAGCTCGTTTTCCCTCACCGGCTATGGATCCATGATCCACGTCGAACCCCCATCGCCCCATCGTCGTAACGTCTTGCACGACTGCAAGCCCTTGGCACGCGACACCCATCCTACACCGAACTCACGACACTGCAACCATCAACAGCTTGGCAAGATTTGACATGAAATTTGGTGGGCGGCGCTGGCACAAGGGTTACTAAACAACATCGAATTGCCAATTCCTTATGACATACCGCCACGAGGAATTCCTACTCATGCCTTGCACCTGGCGGGCAGCAGTTTCACTGCATGCCCGAAAGAACTTCAACAGCCGCGTCGCAGGCTGCCTTCTCTGCTGCTATCTTGCCGCTGCAAATCTCTTTCTGCAGGACCTTTATGGAAGGGGCCACAAGGTTGCCCGGAATCTGCATCACACATGTTGGATGGATAGAACGCGGTGGCTTGCCCCTGGCGTACGCATACACCAGCCTTGCGCTGCCCACTGGAATTTGCAAATGGCAATGCAAGCACACCACGCCCCGCCGAAGTGTCGTGCCAACCGAGAGCACACCCAGCTGTTTTTGGTAGAAGGCTGCCGAAGCACCTGCCGCGTCAGTGTCGGCCTGCTCCTCATCTGACTCATTTGTCACTGGAGCTTTGGACCTCGAAGAAGACGCCGCCACTGGCTTTGACGTTGACTTCTTTGAGTTTCTCCTGGCTGCTTTGCCTGCACCATCTTCAGCTGGCAGCATTCGGGCAGCTGCGTCCAGCTCTGCTTGGGCCTCGCCACTCAGGAGACACGCGAAAAGATCATCTGATGCGTCGCCCGCTGCCGCTGCCTCTTCTGCTGCTGGCTGCTCTTCCTCTGCCCGCACTTCTGCCGAACACTTCCTGAAGTCGCCCCTACACACCGAACAAACGCACTCCGGAATTCACACCCTATACTGCTCACAACTACATGGACTCCACTGACTAGACTATACTAGTTCAAGTTCTACTACACTACACACTATAGACTATACTGACGACTATACTGGCTACACAGAACACAGAACCCCACAACACCCCCCCTAGCAGCAGCAGAATTTTCACGGCTTTGGTAGGGTAGCAATGATGATAGACTGCGCCTGGACTATGAGTAGGATTCGTGTGGGGTCACAACAATACAAAAGACCGCAATGGAAACATGGATTATGAATTTTTCGATTATCGCTTCTCGTCGAAATATTTGTTCCATTCTACATAGAAAGGCTTTATGAAGCTGTGGTGCTGGGTTGACAGATCGCCAGCCCCTCCACATCGTTTCTCGTCCCTCTTGGCCTGCTTGCGAGGCCTGGAATCAGTCGGATCCGGCATCTTCAGCCCGAACGGAAGCCGGGCTTCTGCACGAGGAGCAGCCCTGTGTTCTGCCACACGCCAGGATCCAAGGTGAACCACCGCTGCTGCATCCTCATCCTCCGGAACCACAAAGTACACCAATTCCGCGTCTGCAATCGTGATTTCCGGGAAGAATGTCACCTGTGTCACACCCTCTCACACAATGCGTGCTGGCTAGACTAGAAGCCGCCTCACTGTCATTCAAATGTACAGACAAGCAAGTTAGCTTAGTGGTATTATTTATGCGTTGCGTGAAAACGGCCTCGACTCCCAGTTGGTCTGCAGCCTGACCGCCAGCAACATGACGGCTCAGCAATGTACGCAGCAGCTGGTGCACGGTACACACTTGGAGCCGACCGTTCCGAAGCTTCAACCGCAGCTCGCTCCCAGTGCGAGCAACTTGCGTTCCGACATGGGAGACCGGCCGGCGCATGACAGCACTCAACAGCAGCCAGACCTTATGGTCGCCAGACACAAATCTCACCAGCGAAGGGCTGGTTCCAAGCTTTTTGGCGTGCAAGCTTGTATCGAATTCGGACGCCAGCTTCTGCAGCACAGAAAAGTGCGGCTCAGCACAACAAAGACCTGCATGGGCAGTCACGCGTGCCCTGAGAAATGGAGGACTCTTCTTGGGATTGCTGAGTATTTGAGTGTCGAAGCCGAACACTGCGTCAAACTCAGCACGGAGATCCGCACGGTTCTCGTTGCCACTGCAATCCATAACGAGTTCGGCCCTCAAGGCACTGATGTGGTCCCCCAGCCCGAGCCCATGATGCCAAGCCGGGTGCTCCGCGACATGGTTTAAGCTCTTCTCCAATCTCGCCCCATTCAAGCGTTTGATCTGCGAAACGCTCAGCGAGGATTGGGCGTCTGCTTCCTGCTGAGCGTTGCGCGATTGCAAAGCTGTCTGGCTAAGCGCTGTCCGCGCAGCCTGCATCTCATCCGCTCTCTCCTGGTACACAGCTTTCTCCTCCTTGCTCAAGCCTTTCCACTGGTCACCAAGGCTCTTCTGCACTGACTTCGACTCCTGGTCGGTCAAGCGCCCGAACCGAAATGATTGCCTGGCACTGGGGGAAATAGTTTCTGCTACAACACCGGACTTTTCGAACCTTTCTATAACTATGACTATAACTACTATAATTATAACTGCTACAATTATCCCATACCCATAACGGAACTACCGAGCAGCAGTGCAGTACGCGTTGCCGCCTAGGCGCTTCATGCTCTGCTGAAAAGCATTGTAGGCACTGACCCTGCGCGGCTTCACGTGCGCCTTGCGCACACCACCCGCTCGTACTGACCTACATGGGGGAGAAAGCTGGCTTTAGGCTAGGGCCAGGGCTTATAACTTATGATTTATCATTTAATTGAAAATCATACATTTAGAAAACAGGTGTAGCTCTAGTCAAAAGTGGACTTAGAACGGGGGAATGCGGAATGCCATCATTTGGAACTTCCGACAACAAGCCCTTCAGCATTCCCGCGCGGCGCTTGACCGTCCCGTCTGAGGCCAGTCCTGCCCGTCGCAAAGCCACCCCTGCGCCAGGCGCACTGGTTTCCACCATTCTGGCACGAAGAACCATCTTCACTCGCTTGCCTGCCTTGCCCATAATTTCTGCTTCGACATGCTGCTTCAGACCTGCATGGTCTAGGTACACATTCGTCACCAGTGAGTCTGATTGGATGGTCGATGGTCGTGAGGGCACGCTTTTGTGAGCCCCTGCATCCACGAGAAGGTTCGCGTGTTGACGCTCTATATCCACAGAGCTTGATGGTAGCTGGTTCAGCACATCACGGAGAAGGACCTGTATGTGCGAGACACGTGTGAGCTGCCGTGCAAGGCGGACAGCATCATCAAGCACTGCTTGCTCAGCGTCGTCAAGAACCCATTGAAAGAGCACCTCAAGGGGCAAAGGCCGTCTTCACGCCGGCAAGTAGATTTACAGTAGAACTCAAGTGCACTGCGGACCCAAATGCCAATTGACTGTTGACCTCATTATATACACGGTCAGGAGTCATACTTAGACCGTACACAGTAGACAGTAGAACTGATCTTTTTTTTGCCGAGTGCCTGGGAGAACATGGGGTCGATGCACATGCTGCAGGTGCGATGCTGCTGCCGTAGGGTCTTCAATGTTTCGAGGGCAACAGCAGGTTCTTGACCAACCACCTGAAACAGCTGCCAAGGAAGGCACTCATATGGCATCACCAACCTCCTGTATGCATCTGCAACCCCAATCAAAAGAAGCTCGACGCTATCTTGCTTCTGCACTCCAAGCGAAGGGAACCAGACGTCTGCAGTACTTGGAGCTTCCAGCAACCTCTGGAAGTCGTCAATCACGCACCAACCAGTCTCGCCAGTTATAATCTCGCGAGTTAGCTTCGCGAGATCATCCACGTTGGCATTCCGACAAGCACTGTCACTCAAAGTCAATCCCCGATTTTTCAAGCGGAGCCGTGCCCGAGCAACCTCTGTGAAGGACACCTTCTCCATATAGCTGCTCAACGGGTCTGTGACCACAAGTGACTGAGCAAATCTCGCCTGAGGAACACTGGCCGTAGATGGTTTGGGGTTAAGATTTAGTTTAGGGATCTCCTACCTACGTCTAATCCAACTCAGCAGGACAAGGGCTGCCATAACGAGCTGTCACCAACGAGTCATGCTCATTCAGAAGCTGCATCACTTTTGCGACTCTGATTTGTTGTTTGATGGCAGGGGCAACGTCCGGATTGTCCTCGTCCATCGCCAAATTCGCCTCAAGCAAATCTGGCAATATGTCCGCTTGTTCGTTCTTGCACTGCTGCCATATGTACCTCAAAAGGCCCCGCACTGCTAGTCCACGGGTTACGTATTGGGCCGCAACATCGAAGCCCTTCCACCTGTACAACAGTGGAGGGGTAAAGAGAGAAGCGAACAGCGCATTTAGTGCTGCCTTGAGATTCTGTCTGAATGCCTTTTGGTTCGAACAGCAGCCCGGCGGGCATATGTGCAGCAGCTTTCCCTGGGCAACCAGTTGCTCACGCCAGTCGTCGTTGATCATACGTAGGATAAGGGCCTTGTCGTCTTCTGTGAGATCTGAGCTGCAAAGTTGCAAAATGCTTGCATGCCTGTGCTCCAGCTCCTGCGTGGTTCTTGGCACTTGAGTCACTTCTCGGCGTTCGGCCCTGGCAACAATAGCCGTCAAGGTGTTGTCTAGCCGCTGGCGGAATTGCGACCCTTTGGTTGCGTTCGAAAAACGCACCAAGCCTGCGTCAGTTGCAGAAGTCCCACTACTTCCACGTCTTACGTTGTACAAGAGCGAACACTACAGTACAACAGTACAACTCACAAGCCCGAACTAGCTAATTCAAGTTATTTAAAGTTATCTACCAGTGATTTCTCAAATCAGCAAAAATCAAACCACCCCGGGCCTGTTACCACGCCTGGGATGCGCAGCACTTGAGGCTTCTTTGCAAGAGCGCATTGGTGGTGAGCACAAAAGGTGTGTAACGTAGTGATAACAGATCCCTCTTGCCTGCGTTTCTCGATGTAGGCCCGTTGTTCTAGAGCTGCAACGAGGACGTTTGCCGCAAGAGCGTCAGTACCTTGGATACAAACAAACCTAGACTAGAGGCTAGAGTGGGCTAGAGGCATCTATATAAACGCAGACCGTGACCTTTGCAAAAGCCCTGGCAGCCTGAGACACTACGGGTACGGGCCGGGTGTATGATGGCAAGCTTATTTGCTACATGGCTACATGCTACATGTGCCTAGTTGCACGAAATGATGACTCGCATGGGCAACCTCTTCAGCAACTCATCTGACTGAGCGCCTCCCAGGTGTTCGCCTGCCCCATTGTATCCGCACAGAGACCAACGATTTGTTCGGTCAAGTATCGTGGCCGCATTGGCCTCACCGGAATATAGGATTGCGCTTGAAATTGAGATTGTTCCATTGTACTTCAATACTGACCACAATTGCTTTATCACTATGACTAGACCGGACTGTACTCATGACGGGTGGCTTTCGGGAGCACCTGTGAGGGGACATGCAGCTGAACACTCTCCACTGTGCCATCCCTGCGCCGCAAAGTAGCCCATTGCATAATTCCAAGAAGAGGTGATACTTTGCGGCGGCCAGTTCTGCCCACTGAAGCTTTCCGGCCTGCCCCCTCGACGCCCTCTTCCTCCTCTGCAGCCTCTGCACCTGCATTATCCACTGCCTCTAGTCCGTCCAAGTCTACCGAAGGCCCTGTTTCAGGACTTGTGTAGACGTTCGTGTCGTCTGACGTCCTCACGAATATGCCATGCAATGGCTGATCCCGCTCCAGCCATTCCAACAAGCGTGCCTTTTGAGATTTGAGGAAGCTCAGCAAGCCGATCACACGAAACCGCTTCAGTGCCGTATCCTTCCGTCGTGTTGCGGAAAAACCAGTCAGCTCGCCCTGTGCATTCGCGAACTCGTAGAATTCTTGCCTTAGCCGGGCTGGGTGTACAGTTGTCATAGCGGCATTGTGGGAGGCTCTAGCAGCGGCTTTTGGGTTGGGGGAGGGGGGGCGGGAATTTGGGTTTAGGGCCGGGCAATCTATTTCAGTCAAAATACACGTGCCGGGTTTGAGCGCTGTTCTGACCTCTACTGAAAAGGCTGAAGGTCACTCTCGCCACATCCTGAGCAGGTGACACCATAAACTTTTGTACTGTTTCTGCGGCGCGCTTCACTTGCGACCTTGCGATGCCAGCAGCAATCGCAGCTCCATGAGTCTTTCCACGAGACCTTGCGAATGCCCTCATGGGATTTGCAACCTCAGCAGATAGCCCGGTGTCGGAATCGCCCTGACCCTGGCTGCTCGCACCCTCACTCCCTCCGAGACTGCTTTGCGAAGCCCTGCGTTGTCGCGGAATACCATCGCGGTTCGCAAACTGGCGCCACATGGCGAACTTAGGAAAAAGGTTCTGAGCACTAGAAAATTCACACTGTATAACCCGCAACCCCCAATGTAAGGACCCCATATACTTAGGAGTAGTGCCTTCAGCAGCCAACACTTACCTGGGCAATCTGCGGCCACGGTCATGGTCTTCGTACTTGAACAAGCACAGAAAAAAGAATAGTCACGCACGCAGTGTTAATGGTAGCATGGCAGCAAGGCTCCCGCCTGATACTCGTCCTCTGCCCTCACGCCGGAGTGGATCTTCTTCTTGCATCCGGCCACATTTTCTAAAATTGCCACCCTTGGATGAACAGCCTACCCAGGTTCCATGCCAGTAGTAGTAGTAGCGACTGCAAGCGGTAGGAACATGCATGCAGCCTGGATGCTGCGGCTTGCGAACACGAATAAAGCGACTCGATTCTATGAAAGGCACGGCGTAAGGGGACTCAGTGCAGTGACGTGGCACACTTCACAGACGATAATGACATGAATGCTGAGCGAACACAACTGAACCGATCAGCCAAGCTGCGATGTGCTGGGCCTGGCCTATCATTTCTCCCATTCCTTGATGGTGGAATCGTGAGGAGCTTTCTTGGGAAAAAAGTTTGCAGACGAACCCGGATATATACAGGTCGATCTCCTTGCACACAAGACGCAGCAGCTACGGAACGCCTTGCATGGAAGACTCTGCAGGGCGCTTAAAAGTTAAAAGTGCATCCCAAATAACAAGAGCTGGGTGGGCAACGGGGTGCCGGCCAGGCCGGCCGGTGCCGCAGGCCCTAAATTAAGAGCGGGTGTGCCAACCTCACCCCCCGCCTTCCCCCTCACGCTTTAGGATTTGGGGAAACCCTAAACCCGAACCCCTACTGCAGTCCTCATCCGGTGGCTGGCACAGCCTGCCGTGGACGGCGCATTGCCCTCCCTGCCTGCTCGGGCTAGCTAGACAACAGCATACACACTGCATGATGCCGAGCCTGGCAAAAGTGATATTCGTGTAACAATGATCAACCTTGTTGTTCTGCATGAAGAACTTTCGTGTGAGAGCCTCGGGTCAGTAAAATGGCCAGAAAGACCCAGATAGGAAAGTACGTCACAACTGATCCGAAGTTGCAGCTGTCACTGCTGACGTGGCACATGGGACTCCGAGCTGATAACCTCTCGAAAGTTCCACGCCCCGATTAAGTCCCTGAGGGCAAAGGATGGAGCTCCGGTTCCGGAACACCCGCTGGCAACAACCTCAGGCGACATACTGTTCAGAAATGAGTTCAAGCAACAGGCTTCAGGCGCACCCGCACTGCGCACAAGTTCTTGCTTGACCAGCTGCCAGAGGTCGCAACAGGCGACGCTGCAGGTTCACCACAGATGCACCGATAAACCGCGTAAAGCGGTCTGCCCAAGACACTGCCACATAATCGGGCCCCGGAATAGGCTGCTGTGTATGCTGTGTAGAGGACCTCAGGTTGACCAAACTCCGATATGACGATATGGACATGGCGCTAAGCTGGACTCAAAAAAATACTGCAGCCGAGAGACCTACTCCCACGCTCATCGTCATCCGAGCCACATCGACGGCCCAACCTGATGAGAATTCTGCACGCCACACATTATCCTAATACAACAACATTAGAGCTCCGACAATCTTCTGGCGAGATGCTCGTCGGAGTCGCTCCCTGGCACTGGTCTGGACCGGGAACAGGATCTAGATCTCGAGTGTAACCTCATCGGGCTCATGGGAACCCCTGCGTGCGCACCCAGTTCGCACACGACACACCAGCAAATACGTCCAGACTTACAGCCCAGCAACGGCTCCTCAGCATTCGCTGCAGCCGAACCACTCCCAGAGATTAATCTGGAGTACAAATCAGCTAGCGGCATGGCGGCGCGGAGGCAAACACTTTCGCATGTAAGTTTACTCCGCACCATCCAAAACTGACCCGTAATTGGCCCATAGTTGTATTCAGCGGCACGGTTGTTAGGTGTCCGAGTGGCCGAATTGGGCTCATTTTTTTGCCAAAATATCACCTTGCGACTACCCTAAGCTATTCCCTATGGACAATTTAGACGTAATTTTATCCGGAATGTCGCCCTGAGACTACCCCAACCTAATCCCGCATGGCCATCTGCGAACCTCGGAGGGCTCGAACACGTGTCCTTGACCCGAAATTTGCCTGCTCATGCTGCAACATCTCGCTGGTTTCGTCCTGGCAGCGGATAGGCATGGGAGTCAGACGGAACCCCTTTTCAGTGTTTTTCAGCCCTTGTGCCCTGTAATCCTAGCTCAGACCCTGCCCTGCGAAAGCTTAACACTATAAATTCTATGCCCTAGGGTCCTAT